TCTGGACCGGTTTCAATCCTGGGTGGCTTCTGGCCCCACCTGGCCTGGCCAGGCAGCCAGCCCCTTCCAGCCCCAAGCCCAAGGGAAGGGCTCTGCTGTGTCCCCCTAGGCACGGAAAACTCGTGGTTTTGTAACAGTAAACATGAACTTACCTTCAACCCAGCAATCGTACTCCTGGGTGTTTACCCAAATCACAGATGGAAGATGTTTGTAACAGCCCAGAGATGGACACAAAGCTCCATCAACATGTGGATGGAGAAACAAACTGTGGTAGCCCCACACGTTGGAACTGTTGATGAAAATAATCCATAACCAATCTATAAGTGAAAATTTGGGTGAGTTTATTCTGAGCTGAAATCTGAGGACCATGGCCCAGGGCCTTTTTTCCCAAAGGAAGAAAGGGCACCAAAGAAGCGAGGTGTACAGAGTGGTTATATACCCCCATACAGGACGTTTCACATATGATTGAAATGTCCCTCCCACAATAGTCACAAGATTGCCCTGTCAGCACAGCGCTTGATGGACACAGCAGGTAGTGGGTCTGCTATCTCAGAGGGTGTAGCAGGAGGTCACAGTTGAGCGCAGCAATCAGTTCCTAGCCTAAGGAAAGATGCTTAATCCTTAAAGAAATGCCAACGTTGGCAGGGGGAGGGAAGTTGCACCTTTATCTCAAGGGCCTTTGCTCTTGCCATAGGGAATATCTAAAGCAGATATACAATGCATGCTCAATGGTGACGGTCAGGCCCTTTTGGAAAGACAAGGTCAGGCTGAGTTAGGTTTACACCAAATGGCTTCCTCATATTCTCCAATATATCCTATTACTTGCCATTTTTATTTGTCAGAACGCTCCCTCGAAATCAAAGGGACCTCTCAACCCTTCATGCAAAGTGGAGGAAGCAGACACAAAGACCCTGCTGCAGGTTCTGCCTGTGCGGGATTCACTCTGGGTATGTTCCCCAAAGCGAGGCGGGTTCCCTCCTGGAGAGCGACATCAGACTCTCCGCCAGGAGGAGTCGTCTCGCAAAGTAAGGTACGTTTGCGGCAAATAGGAGACCACGAGGAATCATTTCCCAAGTCGTGGTGTCCCTGAACAATGGGAAGCAAGGACATTTATTTGGGATGGGAAATGAATATTCAAAAGGGAGAAGTGGGCATTCACTTGTGCAGGCTCAGCTGGAAGACGTGCCTCCACATACACTGCAGGTCACAGTAATAAGGCCTAAGCTCCGGGAGAGATCTTAGCGTGAAAAATGAAGCAGAGGTCCAGGCACTGCTCTCGTGGAGAGGCTCCTCTGGTTCAGAGTGGTTGGTGATTGCATCTCCTTAGCATAACAAAAGGAGAAAGAACAATTTGGAAAAACTGTTAAATGCTTGCAAACCCACCCTTGAGTCCACCCTTGAGGCAATTAGCTCACTGGTTGTTGCCTGGGGTGGGGATTGACTCGGGCAGGACAGGAGGGGACTTTGGGGGTGACAGAAATGTTCTATAGTGCTGTGGGGATAGGCGCCTGGGTCCATACATTGGTCCAAACTCACTGAACTGTACTCTTATTATTTTTTAAGATTTTATTTTTCCTTTTTCTCCCCAAAGCCTCCCGGTACATAGTTGTATATTTTTAGTTGTGGGTCCTTCTAGTTGTGGCATGTGGGATGCCGCCTCAGCATGGCTTGATGAGCCGTGCCATATCCGTGCCCAGGATCCGAACCGGTGAAACCCTGGGCCACTGAAGGGGAGCGCGCGAACTTAACCGCGAGGCCACGGGGCTGCCCCTGAACTCTACTCTTAAAGTGTGTGCATTGAATTGTGTGTGAATTTTACCTTAACAAAGTTGATTTAAGAAGAGGCACTGACACACACTGCAGCGTGGATGAACCTGGAAAACATTCTGCGGAGCAAAATAAGCCAGACACAAAAGGGCACATCTTGTATGATTCCACTTACACGAAATGTCCGGACTAGGCAAATCCATGGAGACAGAAGTAGGTTGGCAGTTGGCAGGGGCTTGAGGAGGAGGGATGGGGAGTGACCACTGCTGGGTAGGGGCCTCCCACCATGCCCAGGGGTGCAGCGCTGGTGGGCGTGGCCCTAAGAGGCACATCAGGTGCCAATGTCCAGGGGCAGGTGAAGGAGGAAGCCCTCCTTGAGGGCCTGGAGGGAGGAGGGGTGAGTGACTGCCAGGTCCAGCGGCCCCGACTTCCTCCAGCGTCTTCCCAGCCCCAGGGGCGCCAGCACTTGAACTTCAGCAGCTTCTGAGTGAGGCCCAAGCTGGCCGGGGTCTCCAGCCAGCCAGACTGGCTCCTGCAGAAGTCATTTGAGGGTGCCCCAAAGCCTCTGCACCTGCCGGGTGGGTGACTCAGCCTGTCGTGGACAGTAGCTGCCTCACTGATGGACGACAGACAGTCACGAGCCTTGCAGGACATCCTAAAGGCATGAGAAGCCCATCCAGGCTGGGTCACCACAGAGCCGGGGGCGGGGACCAGGGCCTGGGCTTCCTCAGAGTTCCTCAGGGCTCCCCTCCGAGCCTCTGGGCCCCAACTCCAGAATCTCAATATCCTGCTTTCCAAGCCTGGCAAACCTGTTTTCCCTCTTTTCCCCTGGTCTCAAGTGGCACCCAGGCCTGTCTCCAGATGACATCACCTCGCGCCTTCCCATTGCAACCTGCCTTCCTCTCCTTCCTCCGGTTCCACCCACCAGCTACCCCCTGGTCCAAGCCACAGTCCTCTGGCGCCGGGACCACCCCAGGACCCCATAACAGTCTCACTGTCTCCTGTATCAGCAATGCTCCTCGGAGCAGCGCCATCTTCCTCCCTCTCCATCCCTCCAACCGCCAGCTCCTCCCGTCCCAGCCTCACATCTTTGTGCTGACTGGCTCTAGGTCAAAACGCTGGTTTCAGCCCCAAAGTCACCTCCTCAAAAGGCTTTCCTTGACCACCATTCCATCTAAAGACGTCCCTTCCCGCCCAAACCGTCACTCTCTAACCATGGGGGTCTGTGGACCAACGAGCGCGATCAGGGGTCTGTGAACTTGGATGAGAGAGGCAGTTACATCCGTATATTCACCTACCTCTGCTCATCCTCTGCAAGGTGGTTAGGATTAAGCTCATCCAGGGGCCGGCCCGGTGGTGCAGCAGTTAAGTTCACACGTTCTGCTTTGGCGGCCCGGGGTTCTCTGGTTCGGATCCCAGGTGCGGACATGGCACCACTCGTCAAGCCATGCTGTGGTAGGTGTCCCACATAGAAAGTAGAGGAAGATGGGCACGGACGTTAGCTCAGGGCCAGTCTTCCTCAGCAAAAAGAGGAGGATTGGCAGTAAAGGTTAGCTCAGGGCTAATCTTCCTCAAAAAAAGAAAAAAGAAAGGATAGGTGGACAGTTCTTGAGCAGGTTGGGGCATTCATAGATTTTCATATTATAAATAAAATAAGTCCAAGCTGGTGATAACAGGGTACCATGATTCTCCAAATAACATCTGAAGTTTGGCTAGAATTTTTAGAAAGGACAATTTGTATAACCACGTGGAGACATGTTTTTATTTTCTTATACGCTGGCAGCCTACAACAATGGCAAGTCAAAAGTCATACGTAGCATGGCCCTTTTGTATGAAATATCGTGAACAGGTAAACTCACAGAGACAGAGAGGTTGGTGGTTCCCAGGGCTGGATACACATGGTGGTTGTATGACACTGTGAATGTGCTAAATGCCTCTGAATTGTTTGCTTTAAAATGGATAATTTTGGGGGTCAGCCCTGTGGCCGAGTGGTTGAGTTCATGCGCTCCGCTTCTGTGGCCCAGGGTTTCACTGGTTCAGATCCTGGGCCGGACACGGCACCACTCATCAAGCCATGCTGAGATGGCATCCCACATGCCACAACCAGAGGGACCTACAACTAAAACATACAACTATGTACTGGGGGGCTTTGGGGAAAAGAAGAAAAAAAAGGAAGATTGGCAACAGATATTAATTCAGGTGCCAATCTTTATTATTTATTTATTTATTTAATTTTTTTTTAGGAAGATTAGCCCTGAGCTAACATCTACTGCCAATCCTCCTCTTTTTGCTGAGGAAAACTGGCCCTGAGCTAACATCTGTGCCCATCTTCCTCTACTTTATATGTGGGATGCCTGACACAGCATGGCTTGATGAGCGGTGAGTAAGTCGGCACCTGGGATCCGAACCGGTGAACCCTGGGCCGCTGAAGCAGAACACGTGAACTTAACGGCTGCATGACGGGGGGGCCCCCCCCAGGTGCCAATCTTTAAAAAGAAATAAAATGGATAATTTTGTCTCAGGTGAATTGCACCCAAAAAACCCAAGAAAGGTCTTCAGGGGGTTCTGGCTTGGGGAGAGGGGCTCGAAGGGGCCTGGGAAATGACTGAGAACTCTATTCAGGCTCTGCCCTAGGTGCTCCACAGAAACTGCCTACTTCCTCCTCGCCACACCCCCGCAGGTGGCACTATGACTCCCCCATTTTACAGAGGAGAAAGTTGAGGCCTGACGGCTCAGAAACACACACTTGCACGTCTTGGAGCTCCACTGTGAGCCCAGCATCCGCATGCAACAGCCTAGCCTGAGTGAGTGAAGTGCCTGTGACAAGTGGGGTGACCCCCCCCCAGACACCTCACATGTCCCCACCCCAGGCTCCTTTTCCAGTCACCACAGAGGTAGGCGGGTCAAACAGTACTCCATTTGTTTTTAGTTAAAAAAAAAATTTCTGTTATAATTCACATACCATAAAATTCATGACTTTAAAGTATACACTTCAGGGGCCGGCCAGGTGGCGCAGCGGTTAAGTGTGCACATTCCGCTCCGGTGGCCTGGGGTTCGCTGGTTTGGATCCTGGGTGCGGACACGGCACCGCTTGGCAAGCCATGCTGTGGCAGGCGTCCCACATATAAAGTGGAGGAAGATGGGCACGGATGTTAGCTCAGGGCCAGTCTTCCTCAGCAAAAAGAGGAGGATTGGCAGCAGATGTTAACTCAGGGCTAATCTTCCTCAAAAAAAAAAACAAAAAAACACTTCAGTGGTTCTAAGTATATTCCCAGGGTTGGGTCACCATCACCAGTATCTAATGCCAGAACATTCTCATCATCCCAAAAAGAAGCCCCCTGCCCAATAACAGGCACTCCCAACCCCCCAGCCCCTGCAACCCTAATCTGCTCCCTGTCTCTCCAGGTCTGCCTGTTCCGGACATTTCGTATGAATGGAGTCATACGCTGTGTGACCTTTGTCTGGCTCCTTTCACTGAACCTCGTGTTTTTAAGGTTCGTCTACGTCGTAGCACCTATTGGTAGTCCATCTCTTTTCATTGCTAAATACTATTCCATTGTGTGGATACACCATTTTTCTATCCATCAGTTGATGGACATTTGGTTTTTTTTCTAACTTTGGCTATTATGAAAAATGCTACTATGAACCATCATTCTGTTTTACAGGTGAGGGAACCACCTGTGGGGAGAGGGGACCTGGCCAGGGCAGGGTCAAAGCGCCCAGGGGTACAGGACTCAGGCCAAGGGACCAACCAGTGCAAAGGCCCCGGGGTTCCTCCCTGGGGAGCAGGAGAAGGCCCAGGAGGCCTCGTGCGGAGAAGGGCCGCTCCCCGCCTGCCCCTCGCTGGTCCCCAGCTCCAGGCCCCGCCCTCTGCGCTTAGGGTGGGCCCCAGCCTGTCTGCAGACAACTCCCTTCTGCCCACCAAGGGGCTTAGAGCAGAGCAGTCTTGCTGGGGATGGGGCTGGGGAAGTGGGAGAGGCAGGGACCTCTGCTTGGGCAGCCCCAGCCCGGGGGCATCTCGGCTGCTTTCCTGCTGGTCTCATGACAGGCTTGGCCGTCTGGCAACTCGGGGTCACCTTCACTGCATGTTTCCCCATCTCCGGGAGCCAGCTCCCTCCTAGGTGCTACTCAGGCCAGAAACTCTCAGGCATCCTTGACCCACCCTTTCTACATCTGGAAATGCTGCTGGTTCCATCTTCAGAACGGATCCAGAATCCTGTCCCTTCTCACCACTTGTGTTACTTTGCTGGGGCTGCCGTAACAACTTATCACAAACTGGGAGGCTGAGAACAATAGCAATTTCTTTTTCTTTTTTTTTTTTTAAAGATTTTCTTTTTCTTTTTTTCCTTTTTCTCCCCAAAGCCCCCCAGTACATAGTTGTATATTCTTCGTTGTGGGTCCTTCTAGTTGTGGCACGTGGGACGCTGCCTCAGCGTGGTTTGATGAGCAGTGCCATGTCCACGCCCAGGATTCGAACCAATGAAACACTGGGCCGCATGCAGCCGAGTGCACGAACTTAACCACTCGGCCACGGGGCCAGCTCCTAGCAATTTCTTCTCTCTGGGTCAGGAGGCCAGAAGTCCAAGATTGAGGTGTGGCTGGGACTGTGCTCCCTCTGAAGGTTCTAGTGGAGGAGACTTCCTTGTCTCTTCCAGCTTCTGAGGGCTCCTGGCGCTTGCTGGCTTGTGGCCACATCACTCCAATCTCTGCCTCTGTCTTCACATGACCGCCTTCCCTCTGTGTCTGTGTCCTCTCCTCTTCCTATATGGACACTTGTCACTGGATTTAGGGCCCACCCTAATCAGTATGACCTCAACTAAGTACATCTGCAAAGGCTCTATTTGCAAATAAAGTCACATTCTGAGGTTCCAGGTGGACATGAGTTTTGGGGGACACTATTCAGCCCAGTACAGCACCTATGCAGGTGGGAGATGCTGGTTTCTGCCACCAGCGTTGCCCTCCTGGGTTCCATCCCCAGCCTCTAGCTGGTTTCCACCACAGTCTTCTGTCTCTGGAGGCCACAGTTCTTTAAAAACCCAAGGCGGGGTGAGTGGCTCCCCCTTCACTCAGCATAGGAGCCCATGCTCCAAGCTGGACACTGTGTGCCTCCCTGTCCTGCCTCAAGCTCTTCCTGGACACAAGAGGCATGCTCCTGTCCCAGGGCCTTTGCATTTGCTGTGTGCGTGCCGGGAGGGACCTGTCCTCCCCCGGATCTCCCCAGCTTCCCCTCTCCCTCAGGTCCTGACCTACCGATTTAGAATTGTGACCTCCCCTGGCACATCGATACCACTTCCTTGTCTTATTTTCCTCCAGGGCACCTACCACCATCTAAACTCCACGATGGAAGGGATTTTCCAGAACCTAAATTGGTACCTGCCCTCTGGAAGCCCTCAGTTGGTACTTGCTGTGTGAATGGTCACATGGCTCTAACCTCCAGACCCGATGATGTAAGCATTGTTATTACCTCTACATCAGCCAGCATCCCGGCAGGACACAGAATTCCACTCAGAAGGGTTTCGCTGGGTGGGCGTTAATGAAGGGGCCCTCACACAGCTGTGTGTGAGGAGTGGTGACCTTGCAAGGCCTGTGGTGGTGGGAAGCAAGTGGGGAAGGGGGTGGGGGAGGGGGTGGGGGCCAGACAGGAGCTGTGGCTGTAGATCTCACAGCTGGGAGGGAGGAGGGAAGGGGGTCTAAGTGCCCCCTCCCCCACCCCCGCCCTCTCATCTCCCCCTTGTGCCTCTGATTGGCCAACCCTGGGGGAAGCCAGAGGACCAGAGGCAGCCTGAAGAGATCTGCCTCCAGGGCCCCGAGCCTGGCCTGCCCATTCGTTGGTCTGGGTGTGGGGGGCACAGAGAATGGGCAGGACAATCATTTCAGGGGCAAAAACAGAGGCTGGGGAATGAGATGACTCCCCCGGCCCTGGGCCAAGGCCTCGTGGCTCCTGGTCTGTGGCCTCGGGCACCCACTGCACGTCCTCCCCAGGAACCTGGGGAGCCTCCAGGCTGGGGAGCCAGTGTCGGAAGCAGATTCCAGCCTCCTGAGACAGAGGGCAGAACTCCTCTGGCCTGTGTCATGGGGCGGGGCGCAGGCTCTCTGAGCAGCCACACCCACCGCACCCAACCTCATCCTCAGCCTGCAGCCTGGTCATCAAAGTGTGCACGTCCTCTGGGGCCAATCTCCCGGCCTTTGTGGCAACTGACTTTTATCCTTTTTTAATTGGCTTCCTCACCTGTAAGATGGGGCCACAATGCTACTGGGATATTTCCAGCCTCCTAGGTTCTGGGCGCCTCGTGGGCTGGAGCATGCTGCCCTTCTTGTGGTTGGAGCCGTGCACTGAGCAGGAGCAGGGTGTGCGGTCCCCGGGATGGAGCTCCTCGCAGCTCCTCCTGAACCGTGTGCCCCTGGTGTGGCAGCGTCTGAGACGGCCAGACATTGGAGCCTGTCCCCTGAGAGCCCCAGCCAATCCTGTAATGACTGCGTAGCGGAGCTGGGAACAAACCTGCATCCTGACGGGCACAGTCAGGAAATGGTGTCACGAGGACTGAAGGACTGAAGGAGCTGACCATACATGATGAACAGTGCCCAAGGAATGACTCACAGACTCAGGCGGTCACCTAACAGGAATGTTTGTGTGCATTTGTTCATTCATTCACTCAGCTTGTTCATGCTCTGGCTCTCGCCAGCCTCCCTGGCACCCCAGTTAACGCCTCCACCGGCTCACCCGCCACCCACACCGGTCTCTGCGCTGCTCCTCGCTCCTGCTGGGCATACTCTCCCCCTGGAACTTTGTGTGGCTGGCTCTTTGGTGCCCTTCAGGATTCAGCCCCGATGTCCCCTCCTCCGAGCACCGTCCCTGACTGCCCGCACCAAAGGCCGCTTGCCCAGCTATCCCCCATCGTCCCACCCTGGGCTGCTTCGTTCGTTTAAAGTACCAGGACAACTGGTCCTGGCTGGTCATCACTTTAAAGGCATGGGAAAAAACAGGGGATCTGTTGTAGGGGCCGGCCCGGTGGCGCAGCAGTTAAGTTCGCATGTTCCGCTTCAGCGGCCCGGGTTAGTTCAGATCCCGGGTGCAGACACAGCACCTCTTGGCAAGCCATGCTGTGGCAGGCGTCCCACATATAAAGTAGAGGAAGATGGGCACAGATGTTAGCTCAGGGCCAGTCTTCCGTGGAAAAAAAATTAAAAAAATAAAGGGCATTTAAAAAAATGAAAGAGATTTACAAATGTAACATGTGGTTCTGGATTGGGTCCTCGTTTGAGCAAATCTACCATAGAGACACTTGGGGGCAGAAGGGGGCACGTTGAATATGGACGGTATGAAATGACATTAGGGCTTTATTGTTAATTTTGTCAAGTGTGACAATGACGTTGCTGTGGCTGTCATGTAGGAACAGGACCTTATTCTTTTTTTATTGAGATACAATTGACACATTAAAATGTCCTTATTCCTAGAGAGAAGTACAAAGTGCTTAGGAGTAAGACGTCATGATGTCTGTACTTCACCATGAAATTACTTCAGCAAAGACGAAAATAAATGAAGCAATAGGCAGATGCCTACAATAACCAAGCCCAGGTGCTGTGTAAGTGGCTGCTCATCAAACTGCTTTCTCTTCTTTCCTAAGCTTGAAAATGTTCTTGGGGGTCAGAAACACCGCATGAGAAATAAGGGAGAAAAGCACTCACTGTTGCTGGATGTCCCTATACGCCTACTTTAAAAATCCTCACTACTGTTTTTCTTCCTTCTCCCCAAAGCCCCCCAGTACATAGCTGTATGTTCTAGTTGGGGGTCCCTCTGGTTGTGCTGTGTGGGATGCTGCCTCAGCATGGCCTGATGAGCGGCACCATGTCCAAGCCCAGGATCCAAACCGGTGAAACCCTGGGCCACGGAAGTGGAGCACACGAACTTAACCACTCGGCCACGGGGCAGCCCCTTCACTACTATTGACTACACATAAAATAATGCATGTGGCGCATAGGGGCGGCATGATTAGACCAGAATCAACCTGAAACCACCACCCAGACGAAGAACTGCGACATTCCTGGCAGTTCCCATTTCCATCTCTTCCTTCCTGTTCCGTCCTCTCAGCTCCCGAGTCAGAGCTCCCCCGTGCCTGAATTTCGTCTTCATCATTCCTGGGCTTTAACTTTGAGGCGCACCTTACACGCAGTTAGTGCACTAATCCTAGGGTATGGGTGATTCATTTTTGCAAATGTTTGCACCCATGTAACTGCCACCCAGCTCAACACACGGGGCTGTCCTGCAGCCCAGAAAGCTCTCAGTGCCCGTCACTCCCGACAACAGAGCCACTATCCTGGCCTCTTTCTCCACAGGTCGGTGTTGCCTGTCCTTGAACTTTACGAAGATGGATCACAGCACTCGCTCTTCGTGTGTCACTTCTCTCAGGAAGCATCGTGTCTGTAAGATTCACCCATGAGTTGCATCATCCTCTGGCTTTTGCAAAACAGTCTTAGCGCATATAGAACATGTACACGTGTTTGTCTAGGTGTATACATACCTGTAGACATTGTATCTTTCAGTTTTGCTTGTTTCTGAGCTCTATGAAACAGCATCACAGTGCAGAAGAAACATCAGCCTAAGAAAGTATGGAACCCACTGGCAGAGGCAAATACAGAGACGGACACCGGACCCTCGACGACTGTGACGGCACAGGGAAGTCACTTTTAATTCCAGTATAAAGTTACAGGACAAAGTATTACAAAATAACTGTAACTAAAAAATATTTTTAAAAGATACACACCATGAACAGATATAAATTGTGACAACAGCATCATAGAATGTATGTGCGGGGGCAGCTAACATGTAGGGGTTTTTATAGGATTGGACGTAAGTTATCAGCTTAAAATAGACTTTTATAAGATATTTTATGTAAGTCCCAAGGTAACCACAGAAAATACCTCTACACTTACACGAGAAGGAGAAAGGAATCAAAGCATATCAATATTTAAAAAATCAACAAACACAGGAAGGTGGCAAAAGAGGAGAAGAGATGACAAGACTAACAGAAAGGAGGAACTTGGAGGCAGTGATAAGCCTGTCCCTGTGGTAAAGGCTTTATGCAACTGGATTACAACTACGGAAATGTAAACGTCTGTTCATGAGAGTAAATGGATCAAACTCCCCAGTTAGGACAGAGAGTGGCTGAACGGATTCAAAACCCAGACCCAACTCTGTGCTGCCTGCTGGAAACTCTCCTTAGATGTACGCACACACACAGGCTGAAAGCAAAGCGATGGAAAAACATTCCAAGGGAAGTGATGCAGCCTGGGGCACGCACAGCGCTGCTTCCGCTGCTCTCAGGCCCTTTGCTTCCCGCCTCCATCGTCTCCGAGCTGTTTCACTGACAGACACGCAAACTTTCTCATGCACAGAGGGTCAGTTAGCTTCCCTCCATCCCACAGGAAAAAACAGATTCTCCTCCACTGACACATTCATTTCAATATGCTTATCTATAGAGGCGTCTGTTTATTTTCCTTTGAACTTTCTAACATCTGCCTGGCGCCCTCCTTGAGGAAGACCTTTACCACTCTTCATTTTCATAGCTCTGTGCGTCATGATTTTCCCTGTTTGCATCATCCTTTATCAACAGCATCCGTCTTTTGCATCCTGCTTTTCTTATTAAATGCCATGTTGATGGGGCCCATTCTGGGCTGTTCTGGGCAGCAGTGACTTCTCCTTCTCGCTGCTGCCAAATATTGCCTGGGAATCTAGACGGGATGACCCGTCCTTTCTTCTGATGATGGAGTGTGGGTTGTTTCCAGAGTTTTGCTGTTAGGAACCGGCTGCGACAGACATTCTCACTCAGGCTCCTGCCGTCCCCCCGCCCCCCCCACCCCCCGTTTCCCTGAGGGCATACCCAGGGGTGGGTCTGCAGAGGGACAAAGTGCGCAAAGGTCCACCTTTACAAAATCATGCCAACTTCTGTTCCAAAGAGGCTGCAGAGAGTCACACGCCCACTAGGGCTCCCCTTGACCCATGTCCTCCCCGACACTGGCCTGTGAGAGCACTTGCCCATGCGGGCCGAGTTCACCACTGTCCCCTGTGCCTGGAACAGTGCCTGGAGCAGACTAGGCTCTCCCCAAAGCGCATGAATGAACATGAGGATGAGTGTCTGCTGAATGCATGCACCCAACACTTCCTGAGACCTCAGCCACCTCTGTCCTGTGCTGCACGTGTAGGAGAGCAAAGCTGAGGGGACCCTGGGTCCCCCGACATCTCCAGCTTGGGGTGGGGAGGGAGGACGGTGCTCCTTCCCTTCGTGAATCAGTCCTCCCCTCCCTTTGTCCTTCTGTCCTGCCCAGAGAGGAGCACACGAGCCTCTCATGTGGCCCTTTTGTGTGCACTTTGGACTTGGAGGCCGGAAATCAAGCCTCCTGTTTGGCCATTTGGGGGTCTCTTGGCAGTGACCCCGACACTGTGCTGCACAGCACCTGCGGAGGATTCAGCCTTCTCGCTGGGGCTGCTCACCATGCGCTTCTGACACATGCTAGCGGTGCTCTGACTCCCGACGTCCAGGGAAGATGGTTCCGGGCCCGCCCTGCCTCCGATTCACCTCCAGTTGGGGTGTGACGTTCTGGGACCATGTGAAACAGCACGTGCATCTGCTCCCGACAGCCACTCGTGGAAATGTCATGCTCTCCAAATGCTCAGAAGGGTGCTCTCACTTTGCCCTGGTCCCCCTGCGGATGGGTGATGAACTCCAGCATGGGCTCCAAATGGATCGGAGACACGACTTTCACAGGGGCGACTGCTGGACTCCAGAGCATCCAATGTCCCTGAAAGCATCTGCTCATCCCTGGGCTCCCGGAGGCTCTCACCCCCATCTCACACCCCAGCCTCAGCTGCTGACCCCTAGGAGCCAGGTCCAGTCCAGCTGTATGGCTGAGTCCACACCTGGGCAACCCTGGACTCACCTGGCACGGGGGGGTGCTCACCCTCCAGGACCCACCTGGTGGGCCTTTGTGGGAACCGCTTCGCTCCCGGGACCAAGACAGCCCTGCAGGCCTGGGGTCTCAAACCCAGATGGTTTAGGGACATGTCTGTAGGACACCGGAGTGCAGGGAACCGCACAAGCCCCGGGCGATGGCATTCAAAGCATCAATGCTTTCCAGCAGTGGACGAGTCCAGCAGGCTGAGGGGTTGAAACTCCCGTGCTCCAGCCTAGAGGTCAAGTCCATTCAGCCCACTCCCTCCCCTGGCTCAACTGCTGGGTCCACAGACACAGCCCAGCGGGTGGGCGGAAGGGCGAGTGGGAGGACGAGGGGCTTTGCCCTTCCAGGCCTGACCCCGGCTAGCTGAGGGAACACACGCCCTGCGCGTGCACCCCACCCTCCCGGGGCAGAGTGCCCTTTCCTGCCGCGCTCCGCGCTCCGGGAGTGTTCCCTGGACAGCAAGCCCACCACAGCTCCTCAGCGGAGCCCAACGCCTGTGGATGCATGCAAAGACCCGGAGCCCGGACTCAACACAGAGTTGTACAAGCTGTTCCCGGCAGCTCTGGTCACAACAGCCAAAAGGGGGAGACGACCCAGAGGCCCATCAGCCAATGGATGGACACACAAAGATTGGCACAGTCATACAGTGGAGTCTCATTCAGCCAGAAAAAGGGACGAAGCGCTGATTCATGCCACAACGTGCGTGAGCCTTGAAAAGGTTATGTACAAGCAGCCAGACACTAAAGGACAACTATTGCACGATTTCCTCTGAGACGAGGTGCTGAGAATTAGGAGGTGCAGAGATAGAAAGTAGACAGGAGTTTGCCAGGGCCCGGGTGTGATGCTAATGGGCCCGGGGCTTCCTTCTGGGGCGGTGGACACGCTCTGGAAATGAACGGCGGCAGTGGCTGCACAACACCGTGAATGCAGTCAACATCACTAAGGTGAATCTTACGTTGTGCGCGCATCACCACAATGCAATTGTGGTGTGAAAAAGGCATGAACTGAAGCCAAGAGGGAGTGTCAGTGCGGTCGGGACGCACCACAATCCGAATGGGAAGCCGCGCCTCCTCACTCCCGCAAGCTGAGGGGCAAGCTGGTGCGCATCTCCTCCTGCTGCGACGCCCGGCTCAGAAAGAAAGAGACCCTGGGTCCCCCTCCAGCGCCGCCCCTGACTCCCAGCTGCCTTTCCACCCGCAGGGACGCCTGGTGTGGTGGATGCTGTTTGGGTTCCAGTGTGGCGCCTGCCGCAGGGACGGTCAGGGTGTGCTGGACCATATGTAAGATATGCCTCTGCTGGCCACTCTCTGTCCCCATCCCAGCCACAGCGTGGTAAGGTGCAGTGGGGTGCATCTGGGCCCTGGCTTCCAATCCCAGCTCTGCCCACTGGAGCCCTGTGACCTGGGCCTACTACCCCGACCTTTGGCCTCATTCTGTTTCCCTGACCCACCAGCCTTTCACTCCAGCCTTTGGCCTTTGCACTGGCTGTTCCCTCTGCCTGGACCTCCCCGCAGCCAGCTCCTTCCCACCATGCAGGTCGCAGCACAAATGTCACCTCTCCAAAAAGCTCTCCAGGACACGGAGTCTAAAGGGAACGAGAGCTCATGGCCGGCTGCCAGTGGCTCTGAGTCCCAGAGACCACGGAGACCCCAGTCATCCGGCAGCCTGCGGTGCCTGCAGTGCTCTGGGGCCGCTGATGGGGGCGGGCGGTGCGGGTCCCAGGGCCCAGGCATCACTGATACCACTTCTGACACACAGAGCACTTCCTGAGAACCAAGTGCTGCAGATTGAACTTCGACCCTCCATCATCAATTTTAAGACACATCCTGATTTCACATGAAAATACAAAAACTCAGGGAAATGCGATCACAACACTCACAAACCGTCTTATGGCACTGGTGCCTCAGGGGCAGTGCTCAGAAATGCCGCCCCAGGTCACAGACCAGCCGCTGAGTGACCGGTGAGGAGCACAGGAACAGATGTAAACAACGGCCCGGCTTCTCAGACCCGGGAAAGGCAGGCTCGGGGACAGGCAGCTACTCCACAAAGCAACACGCCCTGGGCACTTCTCAACGGAGCCTGGACGAGGGGGCAGCCTGAGGCCGGAGGGGGCGGCCCAGGGCAGGGCAGAGTCCAGGCTGAGCGGGGCAGCTGTGCAGCAAGATGGCACGGGATTGCATCAGAGTCATGCTGCTGTGGCCTGCAGCTCGCCAGGGCCCTCCCGGGTGGTGTGACCCTGGCCCCTGCATGCCCTTGCCCGGTGTGAGGAGGCTGGCCTGGGAGCTCAATTCCACCACAATCCTGAGAGACAGCTCTCAGCCCTGGCTGCCCCTTACAGAGCCCTGGGGCTCCGTTCTTTCTGGAACGCTTGTCTCATGACAAGAACTGTGCTCTAAGGGCGTTCACTAGATGGGAAGTGCACCAGGGCTCCTCAGTGGGGCCAGCAGCTCCACTCCGGAACACGCAAGTACCCAAAGAACTGGAACCCTGACTCAAGAGAACTTGTCCACAACCTGCTCTGGGCGACTCGTCACACAGTCGCAGTGGGGCAAACGGCCCAGGGAGAGCAGACGGGGGTCGGGGTGGCGGCTGGGGTCGGTCTGCTTCTCTTTCCTCTCGTTTCTCCTGACACACCAGGGTCCTGCCACCCACTGTGGACTCAGGGCGGGTAGGGACCGCAGGACCAGCAGGGCCCAGTTCCCAGCTGGGGACGGAGGCTGGCAGGCACACAGCGGCTGGAGCCGCCCTGCGAGCTGGGAGGACACCGCCCCCAGAGCCCTGGAGGGACGGCTGCTCCTCATCCTTGGGATTCCAACGTGCAGCCACCCCCGGGGCCCAGGGCACAGGAAGAGCCACACTAGTCTGAGCAGGACCCACAGAACACGACCGGCTCCCTCACCCACTAAACGCCTGACCTTCCCAAACTCGCCACCCCTCGCCCAGCCTGTTTCCTCATCTGGAAAGTGGAGAGGACCACATCCCCTCCCCTTAGGCACGCAGGGAGGGGTCAAAGGACCTTGTATTTGTCAAGTGCAGAACAGGACCAGGAACTGTGTTGTCATGACTATTCTTTGGAGCCATGAGTCCCCAGGGCCCCTGCAGCCCCAAATCTGCTCCCAGGAAAGGTGGTGGGAGGGGGTGAGGTGTGGCAGGATCTGAGCCTGCCTCAGTCCCACCCGTGCCGTGGCCCCGGTGCTGTGGCCCACTCTCCCTGCAGGTCGGGTACTGTCTGCGTTCCTTCCAGTCTGGATGCTGAAGCCCTAACCCCAGGGCAGGTGCTAGGAGGTGGGGCCCTCGGGAGGTGGTTAGGGACAGCCTGGGTGATGAAGATGGGGCCCCACGATGGCATTAGTGTCCTTATAGGGAGAACAGACCAGAGCTCACTCGCTCAGCCATGTGAGCACAGGCCAGAGGGGGCCGTCTACCTACCAGGAAGTGGCTCTCATCAGGAACCAATCTGCCGACCCTTGACCCGGACATCCCAGCTCCAGGACTGTGAGAGATAAGTTTCTGGGGGTTAAGCCCCATCTGTGGTATTTGCTATGGCCACTCGAGTGAAGACCAGAAGACCATTGCCTCAGTTTCCCTACCTGTAAACTGGGAACTAGATTGCATGTTCTGGCCCCTGAGGTCAGCGTGTGGGTGTTTTGTAAACTCAACATCCACGCACATGGGATTGTGTGTTGGCTCACAAGGCCGAGTCACACTGAGGTCAGCCAGCACCTGGGCCTGCCCGCTGACCTCGCCTGGGGTCCTTGTCCTCACTGCTGTGGCCTGAGACCTCTGGCCTCCTTCTGAGGGGTCACTCTGGGTCTGTCATCATGGATGCAGGCCTCCCCGGGGGGGCCCACAGCTTCTCTAAGCATAGTCTGAGGTAAAAAGAGACTTTGACTGAAAATCCAGAATTTTACACGACGTCTCCAGGTGTTTAAACAGTGACTCACCTAAAACGGAAAGACCGTGCGTAGGATCATTCTGTGACATTCCTGCCAAAGACGGAGAACTGGAATGTAACTGTGGGGACACTTCAGGCCAATGACATGGACCAGCGGCCACAGGACAGCCTGCCCACGATCTTCACGAGTGCCAAGGCCATGGGGGTCAAGGAGACCCAGGAGCCACTCCAGGCTGAGGTCACAAAACCACAGGACAGCCGGCCCACGATCCTCACGAGTGCCAAGGCCGTGGGGGTCAAGGAGACCCAGGAGCCACTCCAGGCTGAGGTCACAAAACCACAGGACAGCCGGGTGCACGGTGAACCTGGGTCGGGCCCTTCCAAAAGCAGGTGGCGTTAGGACAAATGGAGACACCTGAGTGGGTCTGATGTGTTGTTATTTCCTGATGCGACCTTGGGAGAAAGTCCTGGTTTCCAAGAAAAACATGGAAAAGTGCCAGGGGGTGGGGGGGGGTGTCAACGTACTCCCAGTGGTTTAGGTAAAAACGTTCAGGTTCCCTACCTGCCACGTCTCTGTAAACGTGTGATTACCTCAAAATTTGCAGACACACACGTATACAAAGGACGGGACCAAGCACAGTGCATCCGCTCAGCCCCCAGTTTGCAGCCTCTAGGGGCTGCGACCGTCCCTGCCAGGTTGTCGCTTGTGACCTGACATGCAGACTGGCCCCCTCTGGACCTCCTGCAGACCCCTCAAGGACGGACCCGCTGGGGAGGTTTATAAAAGACCGTTTGGCTTTAACACATGGCAGAACCACCCCCGACCCTGAGAGCCTGCGTGCCTTCTGCCAAGCTGGGCCACAGCCAGGGGCTGTGTGCCCAGTGGACCTGGGAACCCGCTCTGGGCCGTTTCCCCAGCTGCGCCAGGGCACAAGGCAGACTCCAGCAGGCCGGGGGAGGACGAAGCGGGACCACACTAGGGGTGCCCTGGATGAGCAGGCCCCTCCCGGCTCCAGGGACCAGACGGAGGACAGATGGATGCGGGATGTGGCCCGGCTTGGCTCAGTGAGCACAGGGCCTGGCCCGGAGCCTGCCTCTCTGGCTGTGGCTGCTCATCCTGGATGGACCCTGAGCCTGGCCGCGTCCTGGGCCTGCCTCTGCTACTGGGGCGTCAGGTAGGGGTGGGAGCATGGAGCATAGGAGCCTGTACTCTCCTCGGAGAAGTGGGAGCCTTTCTGCCCCTCCCTGGAGCCAGTGGGGGAAATTTGATGACAACTTCCCAACATGACAGGCAGGGAGCAAATCCCAATGCCTTACAGCCCTACAAGCCTCCCGGGCCGGCCCTGCCCCCTGGGCACCTCCCTGCTACTCTCTGGCCGGAGGGCCTTCTGCAGGAGCAGGCCCATCATACCCCAGGGCGTCTGCCCCTGCTGTCCCCTCCCCGGGCTGCCCTGCCTCTGACCGCTGCACAACCAACCCCTCCTCCCTCGGTTTCCCCTCACCCTCCTGCTCAGGGCCTTTCCGGATCCCCCTGGAAAGCAGTGGTTCGCAAACGTTCCCTGTTCCCTGCATCACATTTATGAGTGGGGGTCAACAAAGATGGTCAGCTCCACCCCAGCACTCTGACTCTGACCGGCAGGCCCAGTGTAGGGCCAAGAAGCTGTTTCCACCAGCTCCGCAGACACCCGAAGCTGCTGGCCAGTCCCCCGCCTGGGGAACCCCTGCTCTAAAGTGGCCCCGCAGGCACTGTTCGCCCTACTTACAGCTGTCGCTCCTCCCTGCACTGTTCTTCTTCCTCACTGAACCCCACTCTGCTCCAGGTGTTAGAAGGCCCTCCCCAGCCCCAGGGAGGGCATGCTGACTCAACTGGGCCAGAGGTTCTCGACCCAGGTGGCCCCATCCTGGGGGCATCTCTGGCTGCTCAGTGCGGGGCAAGGAATGTCCCACCCCGGTGCATGCACCAGGAGACACACTGATAAGTCACTCCTGCCAGCAAGAGCAGGCCAGGCTGGCACCAAGGCCTCCAGAAAAAGGTCGTCCCCCAACTGAAGGGGTTCCGGTCCCCACTCCCTGCCTCTCTGGTGGGAGGGCGCGGCTGCCCTCCTGGACTCACAGCAGGGAGTAGAGGAGCAGAGGGATGGAGCGGCCGCTCCCTGGACTGGCAGGCCCGGCTGCCTCCCTGCACAGCCTGCTGGGTGGCACTCGGGGCTGCAGACGGTGTCCTGGGAGCCTCGCCCAAGAACAGGAGCTCATCTCCTTCTGCATGTCCCGCACAGGACCCACGCGCGGGCAGACGCGTCAGTGAGAACTTGCCAGAGCCTCGGTTCTGAGACCTGACCCGGCCTGACCCTACCTGCAGGCGGGAGGCTCCACTGACACCTGTGAAACGTGTGTGATGCCTGGGGACACAGAGGAGTCGAAGAGCGCTGGACAGGATGGCGTCGACAAACGCAGGGCAGGAAGTGACACCGGCAGGCCTTCCCGGCTGCCCCCACCGCCGGAGTGCAGGCGGGTCTGGGGTCAGCCCCAGAGGACGCCCACCCACAGCCCCGCCTGGGGCGCATCACCGAGCCGAGCCTGAGCCAACAGGAAGTGGGGATAGGTCATGTTTGTCTGAACGCGTCACAAGTGGGGACAGGCCGGGGCCCAGCTCAGGGGGCTCGTCTGTGTGTTGGGGGCTGCCCTGCGCAAGGCAACCAGCACCCACGGGACTGGGGACAGCGGCATGGTCGCGCGGTGGGGTCAGTGGCCCAGGCCAGGAGAGTGGCCGTTAGCCTGAGGCAGGGGCAGGGGGCTTGGGTGAAGGCCCCTCGGCAGAGCTGTGCGGGGTCCAGTCACTCGCTTGCCGACAGGACGGCTCCTCGGCCCACCCTGGCCGGGAGGGAGCCACCCAGCTCACAGCCGGTGGGCAGGGCAGGGCGGGCGGAGGAGAGGGGCGGCAGGTCGCCGCCTCCTGTCTGTCCAAGGCCGCGGCGCAGGCAGGCTCGAGGAGCAGCGCCCTCTGCTGGTCTTGTCCCCATCCCAGACGCCAGGACGAGCAGGCTTTGCTCAGGGGCTGGCAACGGTCAGTCCCCATGTGGCATCAGTCTCTCCAGGACCTCTTGTCTCGGGCACTGGAGGGCAGGGGCACTAGTCCCTGGTTTTGTGGCCCTGGGCAGCCCGACCCATCTGTCCCCTCACAGGGTGTGTCCCCTTGTGGGCTGTGCCGGCTGTCAGAGTGCCAGGGCCTGGGCCAGGGTCCACAGGATGCTGGGCGGCAGTAGCAGCGCGGTGGCCAGCAGCAGCCCCGAGGCCCCCGGGGCCGGGGAGGCCAGGGAGGTGCAGGAGCAGACCTCGTAGCCGTCCTCTGAGCGGCTCCGGTCGTGCTGGCCCGGACGCGCATGGGCCCCCGCCTCCCCGTCTACACCTGCGCCCGAGCCTGCGGAATTGGCCTGCGGCTCCCTACAGACCAGCCAGTCCCGGGCGGTGGGCTGCGGGTACCCGGGCGCCACCTCCAGCTCGCTGTCCAGCACCTTCCAGTACTCCTGGCCGCGGAAGAAGTACGCGGCACCTGGCGGGGGAGAAGGGGAGAAGTGGGCTGAGCTCTGGCGGGTGGCTGCGCCTCAGCTGGGGGACTGCAGCGTGGGCATCAGGCTAGACAGCAGGGGGCGAGGGAGCAAATAGCGGCGGGCCTGGGGGAGGTGGAGAAGACTTTTGAGTCTTTGTCTCAGCCCCGGGCTGATCTGCGGGCACCCAGGGCGCTCGGGCCGGGGAAGCTCCGGGGAGCTGCCTGGAAGCAGGGGCACGGCTGAGAGCACCTCTCAGTTTCTTTCCTCACTGGGTATTTACCAAGGGCCTACTATGTGCCAGGCCATTCTAGGTGTGGGAGACGCTGCTTTGAAAACAAAACAGAAGACATGCCAGGCCCAGGAGAGGCCCTGTGGGGAGGGGGTGCAGTCTCGTGCTCTGGAGCGCAAGCGCAGAGGCCCCCGGGGGGTGCGTGAGCAGCAGGAGGCGGAGGCTGTGAGGCTGGAGGAGGGACACGGGGGCGAGGCAGGATGGGGGAGAGGGAACAGTGCCTGAGCAGGTGGGCCGCGGGGACCCCTGGACGCTCTGGGGCAGCAGCGGTGTGGGCACATCGGCTCAAGGCCTCCTCCCACGGCCCTCTGGTGATCCCACTCTACAGGCGGGGAGACCGAGGCCACCCTGTCTGGCTCACCATCTGACCAGCGCATGGCATCGTCGAGCGTGCTGGGGATGCCCCTCCACGGGGGGCTCCGGGCGGGGTGGCCAGGGTCCACGCGCCGCGTGTGCTCATCGTAGCGCCAGTATAGCTGGTCCTTAAAGAAATAAGTCTTGTCATTGTGGGCCCAGGAGAAGGCGGCATCGACGCCGCCCGGCGGGAGGCCGAAGTCAGAGATGGGCCGCGGGTACCCTTCCTCTACGGTATTGTCCTTGAACACCCAGTATCTGTCTCCTGGGGGCGAGAGAAAGAGCCGTGGGCCGGGGCTCAGCCCACCCTGAGCAGCGGGGGCTCCAGCCCTCGCTTCTCCCCAGCCAGCCACCCGATGGATCGCCCCACAGCAGGACACCCAGGAGGCCTCGCAAGGATTCACTGAGTGCCCATCTGCCTGCCCAGGGTCCTGCCACTCGGAGACCCAGGTTCCGAGACAGCAACCACTCTATAGACAGGGAAAGGAAACCCCGGGTGAGTCACGCCCACGAGACGCCACTCTGCTCTGCGCTCCTCATCCACTTCTGTGACCAGCTGGGCCACGGGCATCTTCACGGGCAAAGATGAGAAAGGCCTCATCCCAGGCCTAGCCAGTGTGTGTGGGCACCCCCGGCAGACTTCCCACAGAGCCACACGCTTAGAGATCACCAGAATTTCAAATCCATGTATGCCAAACTTTCAAAAAATAGTTTAAGATGCTCTTTGGGTGTATCCTCCACTTTGCGCTCTGGAAACGCGGCTACACTGCACTGCCACAGCAGGAGGGTGAGGAAGAGAAAATTAGGTTGGGGCAGGTGTCGTCATGTGCTCTCCTCTGCTCAGCAATAATCAACCCTGTTATTCAGAAAACAAATGAAGCAGAACGTTTAAAAATCCTCTGGACAAAGGACTGGAATAGACATTTCTCCAAGGAGGATATTCAAACGGCCAATAAGTGCCTGGAAAGCTGCTCGGCATCCTGAATCACCAGGGAAACACACGGCAAAACCACAGTGAGCCGCCACCTCACCCCCATGCAGACGGCGCTGATCCGAAAGACAGAGAACAGCCACATGTTGGTGGAGATGTGAGGAAACTGGACGCTGCCGGTGGGAATGTAGAATGGTGCAGCCACTGTGGAAAACACTTTGGCAGTTCCTCAAAAAATTAAACAAAATGGGGCTGGTCTGGTGGCGTAGTGGTTAAGTTCGTGCACTCTGCTTTGGTGGCCAGGGGTTCACAGGTTTGGATCCTGGGCACGGACACAGCACCACTCCTCAAGCCATGCTGTGGCTGCATCCTACGCAAAGTAGAGGAAGACTGGCACAGACGCTAGCTCGGGGCCAATCTTCCCAACAGAAAAAAAAAATAAATTAAACAAAGAATTACCATAGGATCTAGCTTCTGGGGATACACCCAACAGATCTGGAAGCAGGGTCTCAAAGAGATATGTGCACATCCACGTTCACAGCAGCATTAATCCCAGTAGCTATAGTGGGGAAGCAACCCAAGTGTCCATCAACAGATGATAGACAAGGCAGTCTCTCCGTACAATGGAATATTATTCAGCCTTAAAAAGGAAGGAAATCCTCACACAGACTGCAACTCAGGGCAGGACGCTGAGTGAAATAAGCCAGACACAAAGGACAAACAGTGTGTGATCCCACTTATATGGGGACTTGGAGGAGTCAAATCCATAGGGACAGGAAGTAGAAGGGTGGGTGCCAGGGGCTGGGGAGAGGCACAGGGAGTCAAGTGTGTAATGGGGTCAGAGTTTCAGTTTGGAAAGATCAAAAAGTCCTGGAGATGGACGGTGGTGATGGTTGAACAACATGAATGCACTTAATGCCACCAAATTGTCCACTTAAAAATGGTTAAAATGGTAAATTTTACGTTACGTGATTTTTACCACAATTAAGAACAAAAATAAACCTAAAAATCCTTTGCTGGAGACAGAAAACAGCTGGGATGCCTGTGAGCAGGGGAGGGGATGAAGGCAATGACAGCTCACCTGCAGACAGCCCCGGGCGAACACGAGGACAGGGGCTGCAGGCTCTCCTCGGGGCCGGGTGGGGCGACCTGGGCGCGGGCAGCCCGGCCTGCTGGGCTGACGCTGCCTTGCAAAAGCGCAGGCCCCGGGGGCCACACTGACACTTCAAACACGGGACTATGGAGCCTAAAGGGGGAATCTCTCGATTTTCAAATGTTGGGAAATAATCCAAATCTAAGAGACACTGTGAAGCCACTGTGACTGTGGCTGGCCCTTGGCGGCGACTCGGGAGACAGTGACTCCACTGTCAGCGTGGAGGGTCGGGCCCTGAGCCCCACACGGGGAGGCCGGGCTGGAGAGCTGGTCACTGCAGTAGGGCGGCCTCACCCTGGGGAATCAGACCCCGTCACCCCAAAACACAGCTGCCCTCGCACACAGCAGTGCACTGTGACTGAGGACGGCTCGCGGTCCCCAGGGGCCCCCGGAACATGCAGGGCTGCTTCTGGTTGCAGGCTGGGGGGGGCCTCCCTTCTCCCCAGACAGCAGGCTCCCCGGGAGCAGCCTCGGCCGGGCCCAGCCCCAGGAGCAGTGACGCCCCTCCTTTAGTGAAACTGCCATCCTGGACTGAGATGTGGGAGCTGGAGGTGGTGGCCCAGTGCACCAAGAATAAATCCAGCTCCTCCCCAGGCCCCTTGGGTGCCAACCTGCACTTTTGTCCCACCACCTCACATCTCACTTGGCTCCAGCCTCACTGTCCTCTCCGACGTTCTTCGCACTCAGCTGGACTGTTTCTGCCTCAGGGCCTTTGCACTGGCAGGTCCCTCATGTCTGTCTGAAATGGACTTCCTTATTCCTTATGGGTTCTAAATGTCTGCCTCCCACGAGGGCCGGATTTTCGTTTGTCTTGCCCACCGTGTGCCTGCAGTGGGCACACAGTGAGGGGCACAGAGTTGGTGCTCAATAAATTCGAGTCACGTGCACAAATTAATGAACTGCTCTCTGCTCTGTGCTTAGAGTGAACCACAGGATGGGCCTCCATTGCAGATGCAAGCTTTGGGGGTCCCAGGGAGTGTAGGCTGTGGGCCCACTGTCAGCGACGCTGGCAGAGCGCCTGGGTGGGAACTGCCCACCTTTGAAGAAGACAATCTTGTGGTCACTGGTGCGCTCGTAGACGGCATCCACGCTGTCCAGGTGCAGCGGCAGGCCCCGCCAGAAGCGGTGCACCTGCGCCGGCTGTAGCGACACCAGGTGCCGATCCCGGGTCAGTCGCCAGAAGTACTTGCCTGGGAGGAAAGAGGGGGTGGGGCTGCAAGTGGCGGGTCTGGGGCCCAGGGCGGGGCCCGTGCTTCCTCCCATTGGCCGCTGGACCCTGCCGGGGTTACCTTTGAAGAAGAAGGCCTCGCCGCGGATCTGGGCCACCGCGTCGAAGTGAGTGCTGCACCTGTGAGGTACGTCCTTCCTGGGCCTGGGGGCAGAGAGAGCCAGGTGGGCTGGGGGCAGCCCCCTTCCCTGGCCACCATGGGGAGCTGGGCTTTGCACAACCCCGGGGGACGAGCATCTTTGAAGGAGGCCCCGTCATTGCCTGCAGGCTGTGGGACACACAACAGATGCGTCGAGAGAGAAAGGCAAATTAAAATGAGTCCCTTTTCTGTGGTTGGCAAAGATGAGCCCTGTGAGCGAGTGGGGTGCTGGGAGCACTTGGACAAGCACCTCTTGCACACCACTGGCAGGAGTGTGAGTGGCTGTAACATCGAGAAGTCAACTGGGCACTGTCCACTGAGACGCTGAAGGCACCTGCCAGGGGACCCCGATTCTGGGTCTGGAGCTCTGCCCCACAGACAGTACCCACAACAGCATTCGTGACGAATAAAGGTCAGGAACAAATTAAACGTCCCCCGACACAGGACTTAACCACAGCGCAGGGCGCACGGACGCAGCTCTTAGAGAAGCAGGCGTCCTCCCCAGACACAGACCTCCGCGGCCAAGCACAGGAGGGCGCGGCAGAGCGGCAACGGCGTGCCCGCGGTGTGGACACGCGCACCGCACACTCGGTGTTCTCACTGATGCACAGGGCCTCTCTGGAAGGACACACACAGACGTCTGCCCCTTGAGAACTGCGCCCTGCTGGCATCTGTTACTTACTCAACAAACAACTGACATGCAGAACAACAAAGCAAGCTGGAGTGGTTCCTCATGCCCTCACCGAGAGTTCCCCGTTGACGGCTAGGTGAGAAAAGCATAAAGCCATCCCATTTCCGGATAACCAGAACCAAACCACACCATGCCACAGAAGCCTAAGTATACAGGTGTTTGCTGTTTCTGTGTTTAGAGTCTGTGGGAGCCTGAAGGTGGCAGGAGGTGTGCCAGGCTGTCGGGGCAGAGGTGGGGGAGGGCAGGGCTGGCCTCTGCAGATTCTGTGGCACCAGGTCCACTGAGGGTCCACTGAGAGTGGGCGGGCTCTGACCGCTTCAACCAAAGGGCTCGGGGTAAGAGATTTTGAGGCTGGGTCCTAAACGGCTGCCAGCTTTCACCCGGCTCAGGACATGCTCCCTTGGGACACGCCCTCTCACGATCCAGTCTCGTGCACGGGATGGGCGCCCAGCTGACTGTTCCAGCTGAGCCCAGCCCAGGCACCAGACCTGAGTCGGGATGATTCCAGCCCCCAGTGAATGTCCCCAACCCTGGAGCAGAGGCCAACCCCTGGCCGTGCCCCGTCTGAATCCTCGGCCTACAGAACCCCTGAGCCTAAGGATGTGGTGGTGGACTGATGCCACTAGGCAGGGGGCTTGTTACGTGCGCGGCAGGAGACGACTGGGGCAAAGGAGAGAGGACATCACACACTGGAAATCCCAGCCCTCTGCCTGGTCCCGGCTGCGGCGAGCAGGTGGCCCCTCCACTGCCGAAGGAGTTTAAGAACAGAAACTGTCGCTCAGGCTCAGCCAGCCCAGAGCTGTGCTCTTCTCAGAAGAGCCTGAGCCGGACTTGGAGCCACTGCTGGGCGCAGTGCTGGGTGCGGAGAGACAAGCCGCAGGGTAGAGACCAGGGGCCCACAGCTTACGGGGTGCTGGACCGATTGTCGGGGGGCTCCGGCAGGGCGGGAGGCTCCTCAGGCTCGGGGGTATCGGGCTGTGCTGTGGGGGACACGGACTCCCGAACGCCTGTGAAGACAGAGAAGCTGCACTGAACCGCGGCACGTCCGCCTCCCTCCAAATCCCACCCAGCTTCCTGGAGGCCCCAGGATGGACTGAGGCCACCGGGTGGACAGACTCTGTGCGCGCACAGGATCCAGCACCGGCCACAGTGGCGAGCAGGACGGACTCCCACCCCGGAGCCGGAGTGTCGCAGCACGTGAGTGAAAGACGCAGGCACCTCAATGAGTTAAACGAGTGTTTACACACCCCCCGCAATTCCACTCCTGGGTACAGACACCACAGGACAGAAAACAGGTGTTCCAACAAAAGCTTGTACGTGCGTGTGCACAACAGCACTATTCACAACAGCCAAGAGGTGGAAACAACCCAAATGTCCATCCCTGGATGAATGGATACACAAAACCGCTCAGCCCTGAGCAGAGTGAACTGGTGCATGCCGTGACGCGGGCGAGCCCTGGAAACACGGTGCTCAGGGAGAGAAGCCAGACACAGGAGGCCACCTAGTGTGCGACACCATTTATGTGAAATGTCCAGAATGGGTGAAGCCACAGGGACTGAAAGGAGACTAGTGGTTGCCTGGCTAGAGGGGAGAATGGGGAGTGAGGCGATGGGCACGGAGCCTCCTTTGGTTGGGGGTGATGAGAATGTTCTGGAACTAGAGAAAGATGGCTGCACAATAGTGTGAATGTACTGCATGTCGTTGAATTGCACCCCTTAAAATGGTTAAAATGGTAAATTTTACTACCACAAAAACAAGTCTGCAGATGTCAGAGCTCTGCGGAGAGGCCAGCAGGGCCCCAGCTCCCAGGATGCCCAGCGGCAGAACTCACTTGTCCATCCCACACACTCCGTGGAGCAGCTCGTGTGAGCCGGGTAGGGTCTGCACACACCACGGTGAGCGGGACGGAGCCAGCCTCCTCCCGTGGGGGTCTGTGCTTGAGGGCCCTGGCATTTCTGCCCCCGCCTTGGGGTGCCCCACCCTGGCTCTGGGGGTAGGACTCACCATACAGCTGCCAGATGCGCACCCTGTCCTCGTAGGGGAGCCCGTAGCGCAGCGGGTCGCCCACCGGGCCCTGGTAGTAGGGCTGCATGATGGAGCGCGTGGCTGCCACGTGGCTCAGCCCGATGGCGTGGCCAAACTCGTGGACAGCCACGGTGAACAGGTCCATGCCGTGGGCATCTGTGGACACGGGGAGCCGTGAGCCAAGGGAGGAACCACCAGCCCCGCCGGGCCGGCCGCCCCCAGGGTAGGTGTGATGGGCGCACGTCCTGGCTGTGCAGGAGGCGCTGGGACTGGACAGAGGCTTCTGAGAGCCACTCAGGCTGGGCTGGTGCTCACCGAGGCCCCACGGGACCTGCAGTGGCTTCTCGGTGCCTGGGCTGTCCTGGTCCTCCCCCAGCTGCCTGTGCCATTCACGGTGGGGTGCCAGCCTTCGCTGTCCAGGCCACAGAGTAAGTATTTTAGGCCTTGCTGGCTACCTGGACCCCAAGATAGAGGGCCGCTGCAGGACCCCTGTACCCCACGGCTGAATGGATTCCCTGGCCCTGGAGGATGGGCCTGGGCTCCCAGCACAGAGGAGACCACGGGTCCCAGGAGGTCACTGCTGGTTTCTCAGGCCCACTGGGCTGGGCCACCCAGGCTGGTATGTAGACTCATGTCCCCACCCACCTTGAACCTGGGGGCCTGAGACTTCCCTGGCCAGGAGAACTTAGCAGAAGCTCCAGGGCCCGCAGAGGCCTTGCCAGCTTCTGCTGTCTCTCAGAAGCTGAGACAGGAGGAGGATAGCTGGGCTCAGTCAGTCGGAGGAGACATATGCCATGTCACCCATCGTCCCAGACACGCGAGTCCAGCTGAGATCAGCGTGGCGGGGTGGCCCTGCCCTGGACGGTTTCGCGGGATCGGCCTAAACTACAAGCGCCCAGCTGTGCTCATAGTGAGATAACATGCGGCTTCAGGCTACTGCGGTTGGCGTTCCTAAGCGAGTCGTGGGGGTTTCTTTGTCTCCAGGGGGCAGGCGTGGCTCCCGCTTACACCATGGGGTCTGTCGGTGCCCCTGGGTTGTGCAGGGTCCCCACAGCTCAGCCCCAGCCCCCACGCACCTGCGGAGCGAAAGGTCCACGCCTCGTCGTCGTCGAAGTGGGTGTCCCCCGCAGTGTGATGGTCGCCCGGGAAGAAGGCGTGGGCCACGGTGCCGCCGGGGCCGTCGAAGGGATAGCGGTCATTGTGGTCAGCCTTGGAGAAGTCGATCTGGATGTCGGCAGCGCTGCCGGCCACCTCATGGAAGTTCAGAGGCGTGATGTCGCTCCAGACTTTGAGGGCGTAGTGCATGAGCGCGCGCACCGTGTCGCGGCCCAGGGGCGAGTCGCGGGGGAACGTGCGGACTCTAGGGCGGGTGGGGCCAGAGCTGGGGTCGGGTCACCCAGGACATGCAAAGTGCCCCCACCCTGGGCTAAGGGGGCTCCCGGCAACATCCTTCCCAGGGCTGAGCATCAGGGACCTTATTTGGAAACAGGCTTTTGAGGATGAACTGAAGGGAAGCACTGAGACGAGATCATCCTGCATCAGGTGGACCCTAACCCCGGGGAGCGTCCCTGCGAGAGACAGAGGACATGCAGACCCCAGTGGAGAGGCCGTGTGAGGACAGCTGCAGGTACTGGAGCGCTGCGGCCAAGGGCTGCGGGCAGCACCGCAGGCGGGAGGAGCCTGGGACCAATTCTCTCTCAGAGCCTCAAAGGACCCAGCCCTGTGACACCTGGATCTGGGGTCTGGCCTCCAGAACCAAAAGGATACATTCCTCATGCCTTAAGCTCTCGGTTTACGGGTGCTCCCTTCCGAGGCCCCGGGCAAGGCCAGGCCAGGGGCAGCCCCACCTACCCACCTCCACGACAGGTTCCTCTTGCTCCACCTGGTCGGGGCCGGAGCCTGGCGCCTCCTTCGAGACAGGATCACGGCCGGGAGGTCCGGGAGGGAACAGCGAGGGGTTTTCATCAGCGCCAGGGTGGCCTCATCTGCAGGGGTGGGTGGGGTCAGGGGCCAGGCCCAGCTCACATCCACCCCCAACCCGGGATTCCCAGCAGCTCCTGCAGGGCTGGCACCAAGCTCCCATCCCATGCCCCCGGCTCCCGGCCTGAGCTCTGCTGGAGACAAGGTCCAGGCCCCACTGCCAGGGGTATGTCCACAGACCAGGACAGAGGTCGTTCACAGCATTCACTAACTTACAGCAGGGCCCTGACCAGTTGGAGTGGTCTCTCATGTGGCCCTGACACTGACCAGTGTTGCCCACGCTCCCTGCATTTCACATGACATACACCTGACCAGCTCGGTGTGACACACATGTGTCTACCCTTTCAGAGGCCTGGGGACAGACGAGTTTCGATCAGCCAGCCATGCAGAGGGTCTTTACAAAATCAGAATTCGTTGCCAATATGTAAAAAGTGGGGTGCTCAGAGAAACGCCCTAGATTTTTGGTTTCTCGAGCTGGGAGTTCTGGCAACACAGGGCTGGCACCCGGCAGGACAAGAATCTACTGGGGTGTGGTGGCCGGATCCCGCCCCCACAGCTGGCCCGCCCAGCCCCGTGGGCAATGAGTTGGAGACGCGCTGTAGGGTGTGGAGACGGGGTCTGGGGGTGGTTGGCACACACCTGCCACTCCATCCAGACCCGGGGGTGGTGAGGGCGCCAATGGAGGATTCCCGGGCAGGAGTCCTCCGTCTTGCCCCAGGGACAGTAGGCCTGTCCCCCGGCCCCCACGGGCAGACTGGAGCGGGTACAGAGCCTCAAAGGGGAGGAGGGGACGTTAGGAGAAACCAGGCCTCAGGAGGTGGGGCTGAGGGAGGACTGTCCGCACCGTCCCTGGAGGACTGACCCAGGATGCCGGTGGCCTCCAGGCCTCCGAACCGCTGCATGGCGGCGATGGCCTTGGACAGCTCCTCCTGCGTCTGCAGCTGCCCCGTTGTGGGGTCTGCCGGGGGCAGATAGCCGAACCTGCTCAGCCACTCCTGTGGGCAAAAAGCAGAGTGAGGGGTGGAGGTGGGGGGCTCAGCCCCACAGAAGAGGAGCCCACCCTGGCTCGAGTCCGCCTGAGCCCACGAGGCACCGCCTGCCCCTTCCTTAAGGTACTTCAGAGGCAGCTGTGGGAGAAGGGTCTTAGTAAGTCACGAGCCACACGTTCACAGTGGTTAAGCGCCTGGACTCTGGAGCCAGGCTGCCCGGGTTCAAATCCCACTTGATTACCTCCTTGCTGTGCAATGGGGGCAAGTCACTCAACCGTTCTGGGCTGTTTCCCTGCCTGTGGATGTGGGATGGACGTGAGGACATAACAAGCTAAGACGTGGAAAACGCTCACACCAGCACCTGACACAGGTGGCACTGTCAGCGGACAGCTCTGCCGAAAAGCACCCCTGTGGCGTCCCCAGAGCGAAACAGAAAGCAGAAATGCAGGACGACCCTTTACCGCGGACACGAATAGAGCCCCTGCCCAAGCCCCAGTTGCCTCTGCCACCCTTGGGGGGCCCTGGGGGACAGGGAGGTGCTGATGCCACCCATGGGGGGCCCTGGGGAACGGGGGGCACTGACACCACCGTGGTGCTTCAATTTCTTCAGCTGCCAAATGGCGCTTCTATCAACTTCCCAGGCTGTGACAATTCCATTCAAAGTGCTGTGCTGGTGCCAGGGGAGGACCCACAGGGGCGGAAAGCAGGATTGCAGCGACTCCCTGAGCCCTGCTTGCTTCCAGACCTGGCTTCAAGAAAGGCACCAACTTGAAGGCCCTTTCTTTCTTTTTGGTGGACATTAAAAAAATTCTCTTGAGGGACCGGCCCTGTGGCCGAGTGGTTAAGTTGACTCGCTCCACTTCGGTGGCCCAGGGTTTCACGGATTTGAATCCTGGGCGTGGACATGGCACCGCTCATCAAACCATGCTGAGGTGGCGTCTCACATGCCACAACTAGAAGGACCCACAATTAAAAATACACAACTATGTTCCCGGGGGGCTTTGGGAGAAAAAGGAAAAATAAAATCTTAAAAAACAAAAAACTCTTGATTCATTTATGTTGGTTGCAGGGCCCCAGAAGGCCTACAGGCTCCCTGCCCAAGGGATCTGCCCCACAGGGGCCCACGGGGTGCTGGGTGAGGGAGGGGTCCACCCTCCTGGAACTCCCAGAGGCCTCAGCTGACGGGTGGGGGGGAGGGGGCTGCCTTGTAGATTTGCATATTATTTGCATACATCTGCAGAGAACCAGCCAGATGGCTCCGTTCCCAGGAAACGCTGACTCCTTCCTGGGGTTCTCTGTCCCTCTACCCCGTCCCCAAATCCTGACTGGCCCGGACCCTCCTCCAGCCCTGGCAGGAAGAGTGTGTGCAGAACTGGAGGACCCGGGAGACCCCCTGGGGTCTGGGGGCTCCTCTAAGGCTGTCGGGCAGGACTGGCAGCTGGAAGTGACTTGCTCCTCAGTGAGCAGCAACCAAGGGACCCTCCTGGTTAGAGGGGCAGCTTCACCCTGGGGGCCTTGGGAGTGACCCTATGCTCAGATGAGGTGGGTGCTGGCCTGGACAGGCCCACCTCCCCACTCTGGGTCTGCCTCCACGATGTAGGATCTTGGCAGCTCTGAGCATCCTTCTTTTGGGAGGAGCCCCCTTCATATCACTTCAGACACATTAAAACGCGCTCACGTCAGTCATCAACAGAGTTTACTGAGTGTGTCCCACGGCGCGCCACTATTCTAGACAGTGGCGATGCCCAAGAGAACCTGCTGTGTTCAATATGTGTCATTCTGCCTACATCTGTTTTTTTGAAAAGTCCTACAAATATTTGATAGTTTTGATTCTGCAGTTTTCTTTCTAAATGTCAGAAAACACGTGCAGACATCTTTGTAGCCCTTTGTTAAGTTTACAGACCTGAGCTGCAGAGCCCCAGTGCCTCACGACTTTAGCAGCTCTGCTACCTAGCACCTCGAGGCTGCCTCCTCCAGGAAGCCCTCTGGAGTTTCTTCAGATCTTATATGATGCTGGATGAGGATGTCAGCAGGTGCTTACCAGGAAAACCCCTTTATGGGGAAGGGGCCACCCAGGCAGGCACTTTCCCCCACTCAGGCCAGCTGGGTCTGCAACACCCTGGGAGAAGCACCCACCTCACAGGCCATTCTGCCTGCAGGCTGGGATAACAGCTGAGTGTCTGCACGGAGCAGCTGTGCTCCTGTCCTGAGCAGGGCTCCACGGGGTTCACGGATGAGGAGCTGCTCTCTCTGGTCCCTGGGCAGCCTGGCCGCCTGGCCAGCAGGCCACACACATTTCCAGGTTTTAGAGACTTCGACAGCACTTCAGGTGGTTTTGAAATGTTTGCCAACGTTGAAAAGAAGGAGGCTTTCCCTGCAGGTCTGAGCAGCCAGCTCTGCGTCCACCTGCAGAGCTGGCTGCAGCTACCCTCGGGCCCGGCCCTGCTCCCCACGGTCAGCAGCCACTGCCACCTGCCCACCTCCTGGGAGCACTGCGGTTTGCAGCTCTTGCTGGCGGTAAGACCATAAGAACAGGACCAAATCTGAGGGGCTGGCCAGAGGCCCCCACCTCCTGCTGACCCACCGGCTTAAGCTTGGGGTCTACGCTCTCAAGCTCAGACATCCCACTGGCCCCTGGGGCAGAACCCCCTCCCCCCATGACATTAGCATCATAAAGCCAGTCCCCTCTCCTCCTGGTCGGCTCCTAGGTCAATTACTGGACCACCAGAATGCAAGGGTGGGAACAACTTCCCAGCTCACCAAGGGAAATCCTAAGGAGATGTGTGACAACAGAACAAGCCCCTGGCAAGTTTAGGGGAAAGCTGGCAGTCGTGGGCCCTCAGGTGGACACACGGATGGATGGATGTGGCCTGCAGAGCCCATGGGGCCCCCAGGCCAGCCCTGAGTCTTTAGTGGAGGCCGATGTGTTTGAACGAGAAGCCCCCATCCCTCCTGGGAAGGCACCTTCCTCCGAGCCTGGAGGGAGGGGCGCCTAAGACAGCAGCTCTTTCTCCTCAAGCCAGCCCATCCCAGGCTCAGGAGGATGCAGGCAAATTCCCCAATAGCTTGGGTTCGATTTTTTCCCTAGTAGTTAAATGAGTACATTTTGAAACACAGAGGAGGCTAACGGGGTGGAGGAAGGGGAGAGTTGACCAGAGACATGAGAAACCAAGCTGAGAACCGTCCCCACAGATAGGGAGGCTGGGGTCCTGGCAGGCAAACGCTGCCTAAGCCCCGCCTAGGCTGCCTGTCCCCACCGCGGTGGTGCCCCGCAGCCGGCCCCGGGGTGGGGGGCCCAGAACTCCCCCTAGGGGACCCCAGCACCCTCCATACCTACAAAGCCGGTGGCAGCCCGCAGGCCGGTGCTGGCCTGGGCCCCCTTCCTGTTCGCCCACCGGGTCCTCCCTCCGCCGTTGCCAGGGCAACCGCGTCTCCAGGGCAACGAGGCTGCGCAGGCAGAGGGTGAACCTTCCAGAAGGCAGGGGGGAGGGGGCGGGGCTGCTGGGAGGAGAAGGGGGAGGGGAGCCCCAAACCCACAGGAGTCGCCCACCGCAGATAATCCCAAATACCCAAGGAGATGCTCTCTTCCTCCTCCCTAGGACCCCAAGAGCTGCGGCCTTACCACAGATGGGGAAACTGAGGCCCAGCAAGGAGGGTGCGCGCCCCATCCTGTAGACGTGGTCCCTGCCCGCCTGCCCCACCCTGGTTCATCACCGGTGACGGAGTGTGCCCCCGTTTACAGTGAAAGAGGTCTGACGCATACGCGGTCAACTCCCTTGTGACTTTTGGCAGCTGCGCCCGGTGCCCCCTGGAGCCGCCCTGATCAAGGACAGTCTCCACTGGGGCCCCCAGGGGCTCGGAGCCACTCCGCAGGTGGCGGAGGGACAGCGCCCTGCGCTTCACAATGGTGGTAAACAGAAGCGCCCAACGAGCGCAGCAACTCCTTTAGTCGTCGCCACAGCCCCGCGCGTGGTCACAGTTGTCCCCACAGAGACGTGGGGAAAAGGGGGCACAGAAGAGTCAGCCCGACACCAGGACTGAATGACGCCAGCTGGACTGGGCCGCACGCTGTCCCCTAGCGCCCAGTGGGCATGTGTGCTGCGCCGTGAGGGGCCACCCTGGTGCCCGGGACTGGCCCTGGCCTGGGGCTCTGCAGCCCGCCTAACACTCCGTCTCTAGCAGGACTCCACCAGCCTTGTGGGCGTGGAGAGCAGGTGTCGGTAGCACTAGCCCCAACCACAGATGAGGAAACTGAGGCTCAGAGGCCACAGCAGAAGGTGGGTAGTGCAGCTATAGGGCCCCCACCCCCGACCCAAATCACAGCAGCGAGGGTGGCAGACCTGGGGCCACCCTGTGCCCCACCTGTCCACGCCTCCACCCCTCGGTCCCTCCCGCACGCAGCATGCCAAGGACGACCTGCGGTCCAGCTCAAGTCCCTGTCTGATCCACGCGGCCTCTAGAGACCCGAAGGAAGGAGCTGGGGGTGTCTCAGGGTGGGTCCCCCTGCGCACGTCTTCCCCCAGGGGCTGCTGGCCATTGGGGTGCTCTCCACACCCCTGCGTCTTCCCCAGAGAGACGCCCCAGCTTGCCCCTGTGACAGCTCATCCTGGTCCATCAGACACCCTGATGGAACACTTGCTGCGCCAGGCGCTGGGGGACAGAGAAAACCTGGGGAGACTGCCCTGTGTCCATCCGGAGCAGACAGTCTCAGGGGGAGGACTAATGAGAAACAGGCAAACACGGAAATAAGTGACATCCGATGGCGGGCGATGACGTCACAGATAATAGTTACGAGAAGTGATCCCAACCGCTAATAATTACTGACCACTTTCCATTCACGGACCTGCTCTGTGTTTCCAGCCCCCTCTGGGGAAAGCGGTATGAGCACACAGTGTGTGGTCTGCGGTGTTCAATTGACACTTGGCATACAGTAGGCGCTCAAATAACTCTTGAATCAATCTTATGAGGTGGGCACTATTACCCCATTTTACAGATGAGGAAACTGAGGCACAGAGCGATTAGGGCACTTACCCACAATAACACAGCCAGTATGGCAGAGCTGGGATGGGAACCCGGGCTTTCTGGCTTCAGGGTCTATTCCCTTAACCGCTGGGTTATGAGGGAAGTGAGAGACTGAGTGGAGGGGCTCCTTAACTGGGTGCCCAAGAAAGACGTCCCTAGGGGGTGACATTGGGCCAAGACCTGAAAGATGAGAAGCAGCCGGCCATGTGATGATCCATGGGAACAGCAAGTGCAAAGGCCCTGGGGCAAGAACCAGCCTGGGAAGTCCACGGAGCAGATAGGAGCTGGTGGGACTAAGGTACAGGAGGAAGGGATGGAAGTAGGTGGGCCCCTGGGTAAGGAAAGGGGCTTGATTCTATGCATGCGAGGAAGCCAGGCTCTGCGTCCTGCCCAGAGCACTCTGTCCCATCCCTCCTGAGAGCTGGATGGTGCTCGGGAGTGACCCAGTAGGCTCTCAGCTGATGTGAGACAGACGTGCCCGTTACTGTTCACAAGCATGGCACAGACTCTGCCCTCAGAGCATCTCCATGGAAGCTCAGATCACCACTAACGAAGAGGCAAAAATCACACATGCTCAAGTGCAAAGGCCCTGGGGCAGGAACCAGCCTGGGAAGTCCCACAGGCAGGTACCGTGTCTGAGAGCTGAACCCCCCCATCCTCTCCAGCCTTCTCCCCATTCCCGCCTCCCCCCTGGAATGAGAAGGCAGCTCACTTCCTGGCAGATGTTGCAAACAACTCAGAGGCAGCGCCCAGTTAACGTCCCAACTGACCTGTTCTCATTTCACAAATGGGGAGACTGAGGCCCAGGATGTAGGGCACAGGCTGGTGAGCAGCAGCCTGGGATCCACATGTAGGGGCTGGTTCCAGAACTCCCTCTGTGCCAAGGGCCCATGTGGCAATGACATGTCCGGCTGGCTGGCCGGCCCACCAAGTCACAGGCCACGCTCTGGGGTGCAGACCCCAGGCAGCCAGCGCAGTCCTGCCCGCACCACACTGGCTCCCACAAGAGGCCACAGGGACTTCTCCGTCACTCAGACGCTGGCCGCGGGCCCCAAAGGCAACGAGTGCTCCAAGGCGTGAACTCATTTCTGGACGGCGTGCCTCTGTCTCTTGGAGGGGGGCCGGGAGGGGTTGGGTGGGTCTTAGGACCTTCACCTGGAAGGGACCCCAGAACAGTGGGACACACAGATGCTCTCCTCGCCTCTCGCCATGCGCAGGGAGAAACCAAGGCATGGGGCCACCATTCCTGGCTCTCGGTCTTGTCTGAGGGCGCGAGGCTGGGTTTCTCGGACGGCAGCTGCGAGGGAGACACCCGGCCCTCAGGCAGGTCTGACGGACCCTGAGCGCATGGAGGGCCCACAGCTCACTTGGGTGCTGGCACTGAGGAGCGGGGATCCAGAGGCCACTGTCCGAGGCTGGGGTGAGGAGGGTGACGGTCACCCCTGCCACCTCCCCCAGGCCCCAGGAGGGGACACAGCCTTCACGTGTGTGTGCTCCAAGGTCCTGGCTCCCACCCACCATCATCTGGCCCCTGGGGCCTCCTGGGCCACTGAGGGCCCTGTTTCTTCCCAGCCACCCTCACACACAATCTCAGCCACAAACCACCGTCCCGGTCCGGGTGTCAGCGATCGAACGATGCGCCAACAGCCGTGTGGTGCGAGGTGATGAGACTGCACAGGCTTTGCTGCTGGGCATAGACACCCGAGTGAAACTTTAGAGGACGGGTGGGCATGCCTGCCACGGGCGACACCCTACGGCTCAAGTCTGTCACCCGGGCTTCCCTCTTCTGGGCCCCGGTCCCTCACACCCTCAGCCTCAGCCTCGGGCACTAGGGTGCTCTGCACGCTCCTGGCTGCAGTAAAATGTTAGGAACCAGCCGCAAGTCCGCCCGGAGCTCGCTACAGGGTGTGATGTCCATGCCACGAAACGTGATGGGAGCAGGGTCAGACAGAAAGGACCAGGCAGGTCTACAGACTCCGGGATGGAACGGTCTCCAGCACAGATTGTGAAGTGAAGGGAAACCACAAGGCGCACAGAGGCGGGCAGCAGGCTGTCATCTCTAAAAACAAGGGACCGAGCTCTTATGTCCCTTCATAAGCCCAGAGAACCTGCAGGAGGATCCGCAGAAAATGGAGGGGTAGGGGCAGACTGACGTCCCCCGTAGACCCTTCTGTACCGCCTGAATGTTCTGCCACAGGCATTACCTACTCAGAAAGAGAATAACGAAAAACTCCGGCCCAGAAGGGCTTGCGGCTCAGCCGACAAGCCCAGAAGGGCACAGCCGCTCTCTTTTGTCCCGCTCCCCCGCTGCCTGAGAGCCCACCATTGGCTAGGCGCCACAGGCCTCAATCGGCGCTTTGTTCTCCAGCTAACACTGGGGGTAGGCTGGGCTGGGGGAGCCCCTCCCGGAGATCAGCCAGTGCTGGAGACCCGCTGGGCACGGCTCTGTCTGGCAGAAGCTAGGTCACACTTACAAAGGGGCCCTTCTCCTCGCTGGCAGCTCCAGACCTGAATATCCAGAGTCAGTGGGCCCCGGGGGTGGTCTGGAGAGGGGGACAGACAGGAGTCTCCCCTCCTCCCCATAAATCTCTGCCTGTCTGTGGCTTCCTGCACCTCGGGTCAGATGTTCTGAGTGTCATTCCTCCGAATGCCACCAGAGACCGCCCTCTGCCTACAAACCCAGATTAGAGGCAGGTGGGCTCTCCCCACACCAGGCGGGAGGGGTCCTGGCCTTCCCTGGGTCAGAGCCTCTCCGGGCAGGGGCAGCCTCCTCTGCTCTCTACCCACTGCGCCAGACACCAGGGCCCTGCTGTCTCTGAGGCTCCAGGCTGGGGAGCCACGTCCTATGCCCAGTGCATCCCATGGGGTGTGGGACCCCGTGACCCCCCTGGGTACCAGGGAACCCACAGGAGCAGGGAGAAGACGTAGCCCGCAGGTTCAAAGCCAGGAGGAGTGTGCCCAACCCACTGTCTCCAGGCGGGCATCGAGAAACTCCACAACTGCACCAGATGTGATAAGCGAACTTGCCTGGACCTCTAGGGGCTCCATCCCCTCAGTGAGCCAGCCGACCCTCATTAGCCCTCCAGGCAGGTCCCCTGGGAGCTGGAAGGTAGGGGCCCAGGCTCCACTGTCACTCAGCCCAGCCCTCGGAGAGTGCACCCCAAGAGCGGATCAGGGAAACCGCCAGCTACAAAGAAGCCCGGAGAAGGCGGATAAAGGCATCCCAATTTCAGGGCAGCCTGGCTGGGAGAAAGACTGCCGGGGGTCCCTCAAACATCTGGACACTGACAGAAAGGGCTCTGGCCGCGCCCTCCAAGGGCTGTGGCAGGCGGGCAGGGGTGGCCAGAGCCTGTTTCTCATCCAAAGACCCGTGGCCAAGTCCTGCCAACCATGCGGCTGCGGATTCCACCCAAGTGCCGGCACCCGAATGCTCCCGGTGACAGAAATCCACCCGGAGCTCCCAAATGCCAGTAGTGCTGGGACAGAAGCCGCACCAGCACCCCTTCAGGAGACCACTGGTGGACGTGGGCCAGGGGCTGGGAGGCCAGGCCCTTGGCCCGGATCCTGCATCTGAGCAGAGTGAGGGCAGCTGCTGGGGAGAGAGCCTCTGAAGGAATGGGCTTAACCCACCAGCACCCTGCGCTCTCGCCTGGCCTCCTCGGCCTGGGGGTGGCGAAACCCATAAAGTCTGATCTAAATCTTCCAGGTCCAGAGGAAGAAGCTGCGAGCCTGGCGGGCTTAACAGGGAAGAGACCACTGCGGGCGCCCCCCAGTACGGTTCCCAAGCCAGTGAGACAGCCGGTGATAGGGAAGGGGGGCTACGCAAGGCGGTGGGGCTGCATCTGAGCCTGGGAGTGGGAGGGGAGCCCATCAGGCTCAGGTCAGAGCCAAAGGGGAGGCAGACCAGGACTGGCCGCGCAGGCGGTGGAAAGGTTAGGATCCATGCCCAGCGGGGGCTGGGCGCCGGCTCCTCTGCTCTCCAACCCCGTCCACGGAGCAAACTCGAGAACCACCAGCCTTCCCGGGCGACCACGCTCCGCAGCCCCGGCTTCTCCTTGGCTGTCGGGGCGCGCCCGTCCCTCCCTCCACTCCCACTGGGAAAGCACGCGGGGCGCACTGCTCCGGGCGGCTGCGACAGCCCTCCCACTCGCCTGAGGGTCCCCCTGTGGGCCGCTCCAAGCCGGGGACGGGGGCTCCGGTTAGGCGAACCCCCACCTCCGGGGATTCCTGCGGCTGCGGGGCACTCCGAACGCACGGAGCCAGAAACAAACCTGGTGCCTCTTTCCCAGACCTGGAAACGTCGGCCCAGACCTAGGTGCGCGAGGATCAGCTCTCAGCCTGCGCCCCAGCCTCAACTTTCCTGCCCAGGAAATGGGTCCAGGGCGCCCCGGCTTCCCGCAGGCGCCAGGCGCCCTGATGGGGTCCTCCCGGCCCGCGGATCCCCGTATCCCGGCCGCGCACTCACCACTCCCAGGCTAAGGTCCTCGGCGCGGGGCGCGGGCGCAGCACAGCCCCCGCGGGCCGCCAGCGCGAGCAGCAGCAGCGGCAGCGGCGGGAGCCGGGGCCGGGAGGCCGGCGGGCCGGGCCCCATCGCGCTCTCAGGACGGTCGGCGCGGCCGTGGAGGTCCCCGCGCCCCGCGCTCCTGAGCCGCCGCACCCCACTCCCCCGCGCCCCGCGCCCCTGCGCCCCTGCACCCCTGCACCCTGCTCCGCCGCGCGCAGCTCCGGGCCAGACTGAGCCGGGCGCCCGCCTCCCGCGGCGGGGCGGGGCCATGCTAATGTATGCTAATGGACGCGGCCGGGCTCTCCCCGCCCGCCGCCTTAAAGGGCCCGCGCCCCGCGCCCCTCCCAGCCCGACTGAGCCCGGCGCCCACCTCCCAGTGGCGGGGCGGGGCATGCTAATGTATGCTAATAAACACCGGCCGCACTCGCGCCGTCCGCCGTCTTAAAGGGCCCGCCCCCGCCGCACCTGTGGGTGGATGCTCCAAACCTGTCGGCGGTCGCCCCACGCGTCCACCGGGGGACCCGGGCTGCGGCGGCCCGAAGGAAGGCTCTTGTGGTGTCCCCAGACGGTCCCGGGCCGGTGGCGGCCGCGGCCGGGCTGCTTCCTGGGGAGCGGACCCTGGCTCCCCGCCCTTGCGCACGCGGACCCCCGCCGAAGCTCGGATTCGCGGTGACCGCTGGGGACCCCGAGCGTCAGCCGCAGCGCTCTCGGAGGACGCTTGGTGGAGCCCTTGCACCGCGGTAGACTGGGGTAGGGGCTGGGGGTGCGTGTGCGGTGGGGGCTGGGGTGGGGGGGAGAGCGTGGGGGGCGGGGGGCGGGGGGGGGGGAGAGCGGGGGTTGGGGGGCAGGGTGGTGGGGTGAGAGCGTGATGGGGGCGGTGCGGTGGGATGAGAGCGTGGGGGGGCGGGACGGGGGGGTGGGTGAAATGGTGGGAGGGGCGAGGAGGGGGTGGGGTGAGAGCTTGGAAGGGCGGGGTGGGGGGGTGGGGGTCGGGGGGTCGGGGGACTGGGGTGGGGATGGCAGAGGCGGCGCCAGCGGCTGGAGGGGGCTGACTGTGAGAGAGCCTGGGGCGCCGTCGGGAGCACGAGTCTCCGGTGGGTGTAGGCGCAGTTGGGGTCAGCGAGGGCTGAGGGTCTGTGGTCACCGCGGGTTTGGGCCGCTGACGTTTGTTGGGAGGGGAGTGTGTGGGGCGCATGCTCAGCGCGTCCCATGTGTAACCCCCGTCACTTCTCCCAACGTTGGATGAGATGGGAACTGTTATTCCCATTTGTCACACGAGGAAACCGAGGTCCACAGAGCCGAAGGATCTTGGGCAGGGCGTGGGGGCTGGAGTTCAAATTAAACGCCCTCACAGCTTGTATCGGGTTTCTCACCCCGTCCCAGCCACCTAGTCACCACTGGTGCTGTCGGGATTGAGGTCCCCTTCTGCAGACAGGGAAACTGAGGCCCAGGCACTTCCGCTGGACCCACGGCCCCAGTCCCAAGGGAGTGGTGGCTCCTCTTCCCGCTGCCGGCTGGGTCCAGGCGCAGCCCCCTGGCTGTCCTGTGGGGCTGTGGTCGTGCTGTCCTCTCCGTTGCTCTTGGAGTGTTGGGGGGGGGGGGCCCTCTGAGCGTGGAGATTCTGCGCTTGCTTCAGAAGACCGTTATACTGGCTGGTTGAGATCAGTGCAGTGGGGCACGCTGGTGTACACGACCCTGTGTACGTCCCAGAATTTTACTCAGGTGCATCGGGACAACTTGGTTCCCAGTGGCAGACACCCAGCTCAAACTGGCGCTAGTCAAGGCAAGGGGATTTATGGGCTTGTTAAACTGGGACATCCCAGAACACAGTGACGTCAGGCAAGGCTGGATCAAGTCGAACAAGGACGCAATCAGAACACGTTGTCTCTCTCCATCTCTGTGTTGGCTTCATCCTCAGGCAAGATTTCTCCAAATGACAGCAAAGACAGAGCAGGGCAGTTACACCTGACATCTTTCCAGCTTAGCAAGCCCAGCCACAGACAGATTCTTTTTCAAGCCACAGTCCCAGGGCCGTCTTTCACTGGATGATGGGGATCATGTATCCATCCCTGAACCAACCATGTAGCCAGGGGATGGAAGTGAGCCAAACTGCCTGTGCTGACAGCAGGAACGAAGGAGTTTTCTAAAGAAAATAAGGGGCACTGAAGTCAGAGTAAGGGAGAGTGGGTGGCAGGCAGGGCTGGATCAAGGGGCTCAGAAGAGATGCTGGTGTAGTTGACCCTACTGTGTAACAGAGTTCTTCCTTCATTTGAGGACTTTGAGAGGGGACTCTGGCTGAGGGGCTGAGGAGGCCTTGTGGGGGGACTAGTATGGAAGGGCAGTGAAGAGAGATGGCCTGTGACAGTGGCCTAGAGTCACAAACATAAGAAGGGGCCCACAAGACAGGCCGTGGGTTTCCCCAGATAGGTCCAGGTGGTGGCTGGTGAGTGGTGTGGGAACCAAGGATGCTTGGCTGGACGTCAGAGGACGTGTCACTGCATTCGGGGGCTGGGTGGCACCACGGCAGCTGTTTTCCCTTCTGACCTACCCCTGAGGTCTGGCGTTTGAACGTGCCAGAGTCCAAGCAGCCAGGGGAGGCCGCTTTTCACCCGTCACATGGGCAGCGTTGAAAGCGTCGTCATGCGCGGAGGAGGGTGTGGGAAGTGGGGTCCTTGGTGCTACTGGAGGGAGTGCCCTGGGCTACAGCCTCCTGGGAGGCCACTGGGGAGCAGCTAGTGAATTTAAAAAGTGCGTTTTCTGTGGTCCAACATCCTTGGTGTCTGCCCTGGAAAGCCACCCCAATCCCTGCGCGAGAAGGCCAGTGCAGGACGTAACAGTGAAAAAGCATCAGAAGCTGTCTGATTGTCCATCTGTGGCTGACCAGCTGACCCAGGGCCACGTGTATGGTTGGTCGTGCTGGCTGTGGGCAAGGACGCGGGTGAGGGTGGGAGCCCCCCCACCCTGTTTGCTCATCTGTGATTCCTGGAGTGGGGCCATGTCCCAGGGGGAAACGGGTGCCTTTCCTAAGACCCACCAGGTGCTGTGGAAGCTGGTGGCCGCCCTGGACTGACCACACTGCGATACACCGAAAAGATGAAACACCACATTGAAGTGAGAAAGAATGGACTAGATCCGGGTGTACCCACGTACTCAGACGTGTTGTTGAGTGAAAAAATTGAGAAAAAAGCAGAAAGTGGAAAAAAACCCCACACAACAGCAATACACTGACATCTACCACGTGCACACCCAGACAGACTTTCGTCTTCTCCTCCGTGCCCCTTGATGCAGTCTTGCCTGCCATCCACTCTCCCTTTCTCTTCTCTCCTTTAGAAAAATCCCACTTTGTCCCTGTGAGCCCAGGGGGTTTAGTGATGCTGACCCCAGCCCCTGTTTCCATCCGCTGGCCACATGGTTGATTCGGGGATGGACACACGACCCGCATCCTCCAATGAGGGATGGCCCTGGGCTGTGGCTTGGACTATTAGAGTCTCTGCAGGTTGGGCTGGCTAAGCTGGAAGGACGTGAGCTGCAGCTTTCCCGGCCGTGTGCGCATGTGCCCATGTGCGTGTGAGTTCGTGTGTAAAAGCAGAGGAAAAGGTCTGGAGGAGGTATGCCAGGGCACCTGGTGCTGACCTCAGGCGAGGGGGAGGGCGGAGCAGCCCCAGGCCCGCGTCCCTTGGGAGCCCTGACCACGTCCGGGTGTGACCACTCGGTCCCCGCACACAGCGTACTCTCAGTGCTCCCCTCCCCCCACCTGCAGCTGCCGCTCTTTGTCCGCAGGGCCTCAGGCTGCGGACGTCCATCCTGGGCAGCCCTGAGCTTGGGACTAAACGGGGGGGAGATGCTCTCAGTCCTTGGATGTGACCTACACGGTCCATGGACGCCAGCCCTCACACCTCCTGCTCTTCCCAGTCGGGCTGTCCAGGGGGCTTCTCTGGGGAGAGCATCCACGTAGACCACTCTCGCCAGGATCCTCCACTTGGGGTCTGCCTAGGGGCCCCGGGCGAGGACCAGCGCCGCCAGGACGTGGTGGGGCCAAGGCCTTCGCTTCTCAGCATTGTCTTACCGTCTTCCCAGGAGCAGCTGGTCTGCTTGCGTAACTGAGAATCAATAAAAATGAGAACAAGGGAAGTGTAAGTGTGGGTGTTGGATGCAAAAGGTTGACTAGCTCAGATAGGATCCTTCTCCAAGAGGGGGCCCCCCAGGGGAGGTGGTGGGCTTAGACCAGGCCCCCGGGCCTTCCCTCGAGCTGTCGTGGGGCACGGGTCGCGTGCCTGAATCCCTGCCCTTGTGCGGCTGACACTGGGTTGGGGAGAGATGAATCGGGTATGGCCAAGTGTGAGACAATGGCCCCCAAAGACATGTGGTCCTGACCCCTGGTCCGTGAACGTGTTCCTGTATGTGGCAAGAGGGGCTTTGCAGAAGCGATTAAGTTGGAGATACTGAGGTGCGGGCTGTCCTGGATGGGCCGGGGGGACCCAGGGTCATCACAAGGGTCCCTGTAAGCGGAAGGTGGGAGCTGCGGGTTAGGGAGAAGGCCGTGTGGCGATGGGAGCAGAGGTCGGAGTGCCACAGCCGGGGGGCCGAGGGGCGCAGCTGCCTCCAGGAGCTGGGAGAGGCCAGAGCAGCTTCTCCCCAGAGCCCCAGAAGGACCAGCCCTGCGCATGCCTGGCCTTCAGGCCAGCAAAAGGGATCTCGGGCTTCTAGCCTCCAGAACTGCAAGAGAATAAGTGTGTCTTGCTTGACGCCGCTAAGTTTGCAGTCATTGTTAAGACGGCTGCAGGACACTCGTAGGCCCTTCTGTCAGAGGTGCAGCGTGCAGTGAGGACGGGCAGCGGGTCGGGAGAGCCAGAGGGGATGGCAGCATTAAATGGGAGGGTCAGCCTAGCAAAGGCCTGAAGGAAGAGTGGTTCATGTGGAGAGGACAGCCAGGGCAAAGGCCCTGGGGCAGCGCCTGTGTGTTTGACAAGCAAGTCTTCTTGTAAGGACACCAGTCAGAGTGGATTAGGGTCCACCCCAATGAGCTCGTTTTACCTGAATCAGCTCCGTACCGTCTGCAAGTGCAGTCACGTGCTGAGGAGCCGGGGGCAGGACTCCAATATAGGGCTTTTGGGGGACACAAGTCAGCCCATAACAGACACACAGATGGAGGGGAGAGGTCAGTGGGGTGAGG